CCACGACCCCGGCGACCGTAGGTTCTGAACATCATGCTACCTCTCGAATTCAAACCCTAATACCAAAAAAAATATAGGAAAAATGGGGAAAAAGACCCCGAAAAAAATTGCGTCTCTCAATTTCAACTCCCTTTTGGAAGAATTTGAAAATACAAATGGCTCATGTGATTTCCGATGAGGAGATGCAATTTTCCATTTTAGGTTGAGATTATTGAAAGCAGAGATGAAAAGCAGACAATTGGGGATAAAAATCTTGGGTGTGCGGAGCTCGAGTGTAAGGGTATTTAGATGGAGGGTATTTCTGTCATTTGAAATATATTAGAAAGATGAGGAAATTCTAGCCGTTGATGTGAGTTTTATCTATAGTCGTTTTAGTTGCCTAGTTGGCAATATTTGTAGAATTTTGAATCTTTTTGTCAAAAATACCCTTGAAATGCACATGTAATTAGAGGTGGCCAGGTGCCGGGTTCGGGCCCGGCCCGGCCCGGCCTGCCGGGTCGACGGGCCTCAATTGGTGGGCCCGTAACCGGCCCGACAATTCCTATGGACTGGTTCATTTGAATCGGCCCGACCCGGCGGTTCGTCGACCCGCCGGGTTAAAAAAAATAAAAAATAATAAAATAATAAAAAAACAACTATGACCCGTCGGAAAAACCGATCCCGGCACGGCGGGTCAAATAAAAAAAAAGAGAACCTTAACCGGACCGCATTGGACGCGGTCCGGTTCAAAAGCCCGCCACTATTCATGCCGGTACCAGTGTCGGTTCGGTCCGGGCCGGTACCGGTTCGCGGGCCGGGCCACGGGTCGGGCCGACCCGTGGCCATGTCTACATGTAATGAGACCACCGGCGAATTTTTTACTAAAAAAAAACACAAAATAAGTGGACAAAAAAAAAAGAAAAAAAGGTGTGGAAGAAAATAAAAACCACGTATTCAAGGAATACGTTTTCTAGATAAATTATTTAGAAAACGTATTCCTTGAATACGGCTTAAATAAATTTTCAAACGAAAACGTATTCCTTGAATACGTTTACGTTAATTATCCTAATTAAGTAAATTAATCAACATCAAAACGTATTTCCTAAATACGTTTTTAAATTATTATTTTTTTTAATTGTTTTTTATTACCAAAATGTATTTACAAAATACGTTTTACTTTTTTTTCTGAATTTTTTAAAACATAAGAACGTATTTCATAAATACGTGTAAAATTTCGTTTTTTTTTTATTTTTTAATCATTAAAACGTATTTATGAAATACGTTTTAGATTTTTTTTCATATTTTAAATTTAATTTAAAAGTAAAACGTGTTTGCTAAATACGTTTTTAGAAGAAAAAAATTGAAAAAACTTGTTAAAATCAAATTTTTACCCAAAAATCAAATATACATGTTCGAGCAACTAATATCAACATATCCGCCCAATAATAATCCAACATACACTATAACGAAACAAATGAAAAAACACAATAATTTGTTAAACAAACAATATATACAAAACGATATAATTCAGTTTGTACATACAATCCAACATTTGAAAATGAAACACAAAATTCACGAATTCAGCACAACTAACTAATTAGGGGTGTATGTATCCGGAGGCCTGCGCTGTCTGGACCCCCTCCGAGCATATACAAATTGAGGTTGAGGTGTGAGAAGCGTGTCAGCTTGAAAAGTCTGATCATCATCATCTGTGTAATTCAATTGGAAAAAATAAATCATAAATTAAACCGAAAAAAAAATTGTTAATTTAAAAATCTCACCTTGCTAAGGCTCGGGCAGCTGAGGTATATAGTAGTTCTGGGCGGACTGATGTTGAGGTGAGAAGGGCTGGGCCGGCTGAGGTATGTAGTAGTCCTGGGCGGACGGCTGCTGAGGTGGGGACGGCTGCTGAGGTGGGGATGGTTGCTGAGGTGGGGACGGCTGCTGAGGTGGGAAGGGCTGGGTGGACGGCTGAGCGTGGGGACAGACCCGAGATCTTCTACCCCCACCAATGTTGGGGGCANNNNGCGGTGTGTGACTGTGTCCTCATGGGGGAATGTATACGTCCTGGGAGAAAACTTGACTGGACGGCCCCCCATGTGGAACACCCAGGCCCCAACAGTCAGAGAGGAATAGGCATAGTTGTACGACTGTTGGAAGTTGGGTTGCGCTTCTGGAGGGATTTGATGCACATATGGCTGCATATCGGATAATCCGCCATAAATCCCGTATAGTGCAGAAGTCTGTAATTAAAATTCATAATAATTAGTATCAAACAGCAAAAAAAAAATACTAATAATAATAATAATAATAATAATAATAAAATAATTAATGAACATAATAATAATAATAATAATAATAATAATAATAATAATAATAATAATAATAATAATAATAATAATAATAATAAACACAATTAAAGAACACTTACCTGACAGCCTAATCGCTCGGCAAATGGCTGATACCCGCCCGCCTGTTAGAAGGCCGGGTAATTGGCAGGGTTATTGATGAATCTACGAGTCCTGCAGTGAAACCATTCGAGGTAACCCTGCTCCGGCTGCAGATAGTCGTCCACATGGGCAATTGGGAGGAGATGATTGGCTCTATCATCGGTCCACGAGGTCAGAATAGGTCCATGGAATGTGGGCCAATCATAAATGCCCTCCCAGTCATCCCCTGCCCTCTGTGGTGTGCGTCCCACTCTCGCTCATCCCGAATGATCGGATCTTGGGGGATGGATTGGCGACACCCAAATTGCCGGAGGACCCTATCAGGCATGTGTACCTCCCGGGTGCTCCAACTGAAGATCCACCCCCGGTACGTCCAATATTGTCGATCGTCTGTGCACGCATTCGGGAGAGAACCATTGTTCAGGACGTTTTGATAGGGATGCCAATCGAACTGTAATAAAAAAAAACAACAATTGGATTAGTAATTAAGTTATTACAAAATTAAAAACAAAAAAAACAAAGATAAATCACAGAAAAATAAGAACGGTAAAAAGAAATAAACAATTGAATTAAAAACATTACCTCATCCTCTCTAAGTCCTGTAAGCTGATCCCGGTAGGCGGCCAATGTAGTGGCTATATTTGACTTAGATCTCGGTCCCACCCACCTTAAAAATCACAGAAAAAAAAAAAGTTTGTAATCATAAAATTTGATAATGAAAATAATGTACGGATTAAATAAAAATAAAAGTGATTACCCCTGGACAATCAGGCAGAGTATCAAACAAACTTTTTTTCATCGTTGGGCGAATACGAGGGATATGCTCCCATGCCCAAACCTACACAAGTGGACATTAATTTTGTTATTAGGTATTAGTCGAAGTAAGAAAAATAAAATATTAAATTTTCAAATAATAATTAAATAAATTTACCTAGATCAATTGAACGCAGTTCTTCAACCACTTCTCTTTGGCCTTGTACGAGGTCGCCAACGCTCTGTATACTCCGGCTAAGAGCGCTGAACCCTAGTTGTACCCCTGAATACCATCGAAGTCCTCTAGCAGCTGGAGCCAGTAAAGTGGGACGCCATCCGCCCGCTGGTCGGGGAAGATGAATGACCCAATGCAC